CACTCACCTCAGCCTCCCAAAGTGCTGGGATTACAGGCTGAGCCACCGAGCCCAGCTTAGATGATTATTTTAAAGGACCACACGGCAGTTTTCCACGTCAAAGGTCTCAAGATACTTGTCACACCAGACACCTGCAGGATGTCACACCCTAAAGTGTACACTGGGCCTTTCTTTTCCCCCAGGCTTTTACTATTCTTTCTTCAGAGCCCTCTAGGGCAGAGGCTATACCCTAACCTTGGCTAGACCCACCTCAGCAAATTGCGGTGTAGAAGCCAGCACAGCGCGGAGACTCAGGATGAGATCCTCTCTCTGGATACCGTGGGGATCATTAGGTGGCTGGAAAAGGGAGAAGGGTCATGGATTTCTAGAGTTCTTTAGACCACCCTGAACATAGGTTTGCACCTGGCAACCCTGTAGAACAGGGCAATGCGTATACCCAATAAGGCAGGAAAGAGATACGAGACCCAGCAAAGAGCCATACTTGAGCTTATGTGTTCCTTTTCCTTGGGAGCTTGTTTTTTAGAGTTTTTTTTGGTAAATCTGATCACATATTTTTCTATCTGATCCATCATTGCACTACTCAGAGATAAGCAACCTTAACTTTCTGGTGTACTGCTTTCTTCTCCGTAAATGTATTATTACTATGTGTTAGTATACACTGTTTCCTTATAAAATACATTCACTTAAAAACTATCATCATTTTGTACATATGGTTTGTAGTCTGTATTTTCACTTAACACATTATGAACATTTTTCATGGTATTAATTCTTTCATAACGTTAGGTTTAATGGCTCACAGGATTACATTTTGTGGTTGTACCAGTTTATTTAAATAATTTCTCTTTGATGGGCATTTCCATTTTTTCACCCTTATAAAAAGCTGCAATTCTAACAACATAAAAAGTATTGGTTTTTGCGTTAAGATGGCAGACTGAAAACATGCATCAGATTTTCCTTTCCCCTTTTGGAAACTCCACCAGTAATATAGTAAAGGGATTTTCTTTTTGTTTTCTTGAGTCAGAGTCTTACTCTGTTGCTCAGGCTAGAGTGCAGTGGCAGGATCACGGCTCGCTGTAAACTCGACCTCCTGGGCTCAAGTAATCTTTCTGCATCAGTCTCCCGAGACTACAGGTATATACAGCCACCATGCCTAGCTACATTTTTAACTCTTTGTTTTTGTAGAGGTGAGGTCTTACTATGTTGCCTAGTCTGGTCTCGAACTTCTGAACTCAAGCAATCCTCCTACCTCAGCCTTCTAAAGTGGTAGGATTACAGGTGTGAGCCACCATGCCTGGCTAATTTTTTGATATTTTGTAGAGATGAGGTCTTGCTATGTTGTCCAGACTGGTCTCAAGTAATCCTCCCTTCTTAGTCTCCCAAAGTGCTGGGGTTACAGGTGTGAGCTACTGTACCTGGCAGATTTTCTTTTGTTAAAGACATCAAGTTAAAGGTCAAAGAGAACAGGAAAAGGTATTAGCAACAAAACTTTAGAAGGTGAAAACAGGATGGATGAGAAAATAACAGACCCAAGAATAAAAATCCCAGGGTAGGCTTGGGAAAGATGAATGATTGCCCATGCATACTACAGAGTTCTCAAAAGGCTTTGGGACTGGCAGTACCAGGTACCTCTGGAATTGGGAGTGGGGCCAGAGAAGCAATCTGACATCCTGGGCTGCCTCCCATCTCCTCCCTGACTAGCAGAATCTGGAGGTTCAAACCTCGGGCGAGGGTAGGACACAGGTCTACAGTCTTGGAAGTGTTGGTGTGTGCAGTGAAGGGCCTGAGTACTGTCCCAGAGGAGGTCTAAGTGATACAGTACTGAGGACTGAGCTTCTCAGCTCTCTCCAGTCCCCATCTGCCTGTGATCAGACCTCTCCCTCTAGGCAGATCCAAAGTGTTTTTCTACAAGAATCTGACTAGCCCAAGAGGAAGAATACACTGGAGGTTCCCCATACTGTCCAGGTAAAACACCGTACAATGAAGTTCATGCTCAACAAGTCTCTTCCATGTGCTCAGAACTTCCACTTGACTTTTTTTTTGAGTTGGAGTGTCACTCTGTTGCCCAGACTGGAGTGCAGTGACCGCTCCCGGCCACCGCAGCCTCGACCTGCTGGGCTCTGGCGATCCTTCCGCCTCAGCCTTCCAAGTAACTACAGGCGCGCACCACCATGCCCAGGTAACTTTTTGATTTATTGTAGAGATGAGGTCTCGCCTGCCCAGGTGGGTCTCGAACCCGCGGGCTCAGGCAATCCACTCACCTCAGCCTCCCAAAGGCGCGGGATTAAAGGCTGAGCCCCCGAGCCCGGCTCCACTTGACTTTAAAATCCTCACTTTGAAACATGAGCAAACTCCCAAGGATTACCAAAATAAACAGAAAAAAAAACTTAGAGGAATTAAGGATTAAGTGGGGGAGAAGAATATTAAAAAGTAACATATCAATTGTTTTCTTTCTTTTTTTTTTTTTTGAGTTGGAGTCTCACTCTGTTGCCCAGGCTGGAGTGCAGTGGCATGCTCACAGCCACTGCGGCCTCAACCTGCTGGGCTCAGGTGATCCTTCCACCTCAGCCTTCCAAGAAGCTGGAACTACAGGCGCATACCACCACGCCTGGCTAATTTTAAAAAATTTATTGTAGAGATGAGGTCTCGCCAAGTTGCCCAGTCTGATCTCAAACCCCTGAACTCAGGCAATCCTCTCACCTCTGCATCCCAAAGTGCTGGGATTACATATTTTCAAGAAAGATAAGGTAATCCATCTATGAATTACACAGAAGTGAAGACTATAACAATTCAGAGACCAACAACAATAATAAAAAGCTCTTGGAAATTCAAAGCATGAGTGCAGAAATGAAAAAAATAATAATAAAAGGAATTACTGGAAAACAAGTAAATAAGTGAATAAATAAGAAGGGGGTTACTGGGAGACCTGTTGGTCCTGGGCAATCCGTCCTCACATGTGTTCCTTGCCTTTCCCGGCAGGCACCGCGAAGGGCTGCCAGCTGCAGATGGCATCTCCCCGGGCCGCCATGCTGGCCTGGCTTCAGTCAGTGGGAAGCACTTGTAGAAGGCAGGGCAGAAGGAGGGGAAAGCCAGGACATCTCTTCCCAGGTCCCCGACTCAGTTGGCACCCACAACACTGGCAGCACCGCCTCTCCAGTTCCGGCTGCCCCGATAGGCCATGGCGGCTCCAGTAGCACCAGCTTTTCCTTCTGTTCCTCTGGCCTCCTGCTGTTGAACTTTCTGGATTGCCTCACTATTCTGTCTGGCTTCTCAGCTCTCCCCTCACCGACATAAAGTTTCCTATATTAAATTATTTCTGAGTTGGGCTTGGTGGCTCAGCCTGTAATACCGTGCCTTTGGGAGGCTGAGGTGAGTGGATTGCCTGAGCCCGCGGGTTCGAGACCCGCCTGGGCAGCGAGACCTCATCTCTACAATAAATCAAAAAATCAGCCGGGCGTGGTAGCGCATGCCTGTAATTCCGGCTACTTGGAAGGCTGAGTTGGAAGGATCGCCGGAGCCCAGCAGGTCGAGGCTGCGGTGACCAGGAGCGACCACTGCACTCCAGTCTGGGCGACAGAGTGAGACTCCGACTCAAAAAATAAATAAATAAAATAAATAAATTATTTCTGTTTTATGTCCCAAAGCGATTTCTGTTTTCATGACTGGACTTTGATAGAAAAAACTGTGGAATTCTCTTACAAAGTAACACAAAGACAGAAGCAGAGACTAGGAAAGAAAAGGTCAAAAATCAGAGGTCTAGCAAAAGAAAGTTTTTTTATTTTGAGCGGGAGTCTGACCCCATCGCCCAGACTGGAGTTCCGTGGCCGCTCCGGCCACCGCAGCCTCGACCTGCTGGGCTCCGGCCGTCTTTCCGCCTCAGCCTTCCCAGTAGCCAGAACTACAGGCGCACGCTACCATGCCCAGCTAATTTTTGATTTATTGTAGAGACGAGGTCTCGCCAAGTTGGCCAGGCGGTTCTCAAACCCACGGGCTCAGGCAATCCACTCGCCTCGGCCTCCCAAAGTGCTGGGATTACAGGCTGAGCCACTGAGCCTGGCGTAGCAAAGTATTAGTAAGAGCTCCAAAATCAAAGAACAGACAAAAGAGAGGGGAAGAAATCATTCATGAAAGAAATCAAGACAATTTTTCAGGACTGAAAGATATGAGTTCCTAGACTGACAGAGAATACAACCAAGTCCCCAGCACGGAACAGGAGACATACCCATATGAAGCACATCACTGTACAGTTTCAATACATTGGGAGAATCAACCTCAAAAGTTTCTAAAGAGGAGGAAAAAATGGTAAATACAAAGGTTTATGAATCAGAAGAAATTTAGACTTCTCCACAGCAAATGAAAACTAGATTTAAATGTAGCAGTGCCTTCAAAATCTTAGAGGAAAAGAATTTTATTTTCCTTTTTCTTTTTTAAGAGACAGCGTCTCACTATGTTGCCCAGGCTGGAGTGCAGTGTTGTAATCATAGCTCATTAAAGCTTTAAATTCTGGGTTTAAGTGATCTTCTCACTTCAGCCTCCAGAGTGGCTGGGATTACAGGCCTGAACCTGGTGAGAATTTCTGCTCTTGAATTACATACACAGACTATCAATAATGGGAGGAAAGAATGAAGACACTTTACACTTATAAATCTAAAAAAGTTTTACTTCTTCATACTTTCTCTCAGAAAGATACTGAAGGATGTGTACTACCAAACTGAGGGAGTCAACCACATGACAAGGGCTATGTAAAGTCAGGGAAAAAGCAGATCTGACCCAGGAGAAAGGGTAGGGGAATCCACGGAGAACGGTGAAGCAGGACCCATCTTTGCTCTATACCAGAAGCTGGAAGCCACCAACTGAGATTGTATGGCCACAAGCTAAGAACGGTTTTTAACTTAATGTTTGAAAAAAAATCAAAAGACTATCATGTGACATGTAAAAGTTACACGAAACTCAAATTTTAGTTTTCATAAATAAAGTTTTATTGGAATACAGCCACTGTAACTGTTCCTTCTGTGGCTGTTTTTGTGCTGTTGTAACAGCAGCTAAGGAATTGCAACAGACACCATAAGTCCCACAAAGACTAACACAGTCACTGTCTGGCGCTTTATGGAAAAAGTTTGCCAACCCTTTCTCCAGAATGAGCATATAGGCATAGTGAAAGTTAAAGGAACCAAACCTTCGACTGATCAGGTCCACTGTAACGCACATAACCAAAAGTGATTTCTAAGACAATAAAGAATATTTCTAACACAAATAGTTATGCTAAAGCCAGGTGTGTCTCTATTTTAATTAATATCTTGGTAAGAGCTTTTTGCTTCTGCTAGGCTGTAGTACAGAACAACATATACAAATCTGCTTGAAAAAGAGAAAGACTCCTAGTATTATCTATAAGTTTGTCTTGTCCAGAATATCTCTGGAAAAATACATAAGCAGCTGGGAACAGCTGGGAACAGGGGCTGTTTCTAAAGGGAAAATGGACGGTGGCAGTAGGGATTTGAAAGAGGCTCGATTCTCTACCCTTTAAACGTTCAGTCATGCTCACTGTATTACCTTTCAAGGAAATGGATGAAATACTTTCTCAACCCCAAATTATAAATGGACATATTCTTTGACCTGGAATTTCACTTTTGGGAATTTATTCTCTTGTTATACCCACATGGATTTAAGTTGCAGCACTGCTTGTTACAGCAAGACTGGCAACAACCTTTATCCAGAGAGGACCAGTGAAATTGATCAGATATTTCCGTTCAAAGGAATACTATGTAGCCATAAAAAATGAAAAAGCTGATTTGCATACAGATATGTAACACTCTCCAAGGTACACTGTTAAGTGAAAAAAGCAAAGCACAGGAAAAGTGTGTGTATCCATATGCACACTAATATTTTGGGGAAGAGAGAGTTAAAGCAGTTGCTTATACATGGATGAATAAGCTCTGTAAAGATATAAACATAACTGATAAACTTGGTTGATTATGGACAAAAAAAGGTGGTGGGGAGATTTTTCACCTTTTTGGACTTTGAGTCATGTGAATCTATTAACTTTTCAGAAACAAAACACAAAGAAAAAACCAAAAACAGAAGCATGCAATAACTGAACCAGCATCTTTAAAGATTTCGAAGGCATAAGTTCTTCTGAGTCAGAAATAGGAATGCTGATTATGAAAGAGATGAAAAGATGTACTTCAGGAGAAAGGTGGTTCCAAACAACATGATGTCAATGGAAATAAACTGGTAAATTCCTAGCAAAGATGGCTGTCACATTACAGGCAGTGAGGGTCCAGACTCAAATGTCATCTGGCATGCTGCAACAGAACTGCTATCATTTCTTCTAAACCGCGAATGCTTGCACTGCATGTCCCCTCACATGCCCACACAGTGATGAGACCCTGAGTGTTTGCAAGTAGAAGGGAAATCAGATGCAGAGTGGGAGGAAGGCCCAAGAGGGTCACATAAACATCTTCTGCACACACCACGCTTGTTTTGCCTGGCCACTTTGTTTCTGTAGCCCGAGATGTCCTCTCCAGATCCAGAATCACATCCGTTGCCTCTCTTACACACCACTGAAACCCTACCCTATCTGTGAAGGCAGATCCTGCCTATTCCAGCTCACACTAAGCAGTCTTCTCTGAACAAGTATGGTACCATGCATTTTGGTACCCAACTTCATATTGTTAGTTAAATAAATGTTTCGGCCTTCAAGGGCAGGGACTCATAATCCTGAAGTCCGTAGTCCTCTAAGTACACTGTTAAGGAGCTTAAGAAGTCCGCCAAACACCTGCTGATCTGACTCCTTCCTTTGATGTCAATACTTCTCCATCTCCACGTCTACTAAAATGCAAACTCATGACGGTAAGGACTGTCTATTTTGTTAACCTAGACCCTTAGTACCTAGAACAGGGCCTGGCACATAGCAGATATGCAACGAATATGAACGAATGAATGAAGGTGCTACTTACAGGGGTAAAATCAATAGGGAAATAGCAGGACGTCACTTCAAACAACTCTTCCACAAAAGGTCCTGTGGCAACAGAGAAAGAATGAAGTTGGCTTATGAACCTCATTCATCTGGCAAGCCCCAGCCAGCCAGTTCACGGGTACCAAGACGTACCCAGGCTATAGTCCCTGGAGATGAGGTCATGGACGATACGGAAGGCCACCAGAAGGTTACGGGGATCCTTTTCTCCATCCATCACTTGGATGAAACCAAAGGTGAAGTCAGCTCCTAGGCCCTTTAGCTCTGGAAGGAGCAAATAAGGTGACCACTGTCCCACAGGACAGAAAGTGTGGGCCTTCTCCTGGCCTGTGTTCTCCCTCCGCGGTCGCTGCCTCCCCTTCCTCTCAGAGCAGACCCTTCCTGTGTTCCTGTTCCAAGAGAGTCCTCAGAGAAGAGACGGGCTACAACACTCACACTGCTACGGAGGTAAGCACAGGCAAGCACTGGCTCAAACACACTTGGCCCTTCCTCGGCTTCCCTGGGGGAAGAGTGGGCCCCACTTTCCTTTTACCCTTCTCTCTCAGGCTACACGGAATTTTACTAACAGGGGGAAAAGTAGGGTATGCCTGCTCTTCTGACTTCTCGGTGAGCCCTGCCTCTTACCTTCTTCCCGGGTTCGCATGAAATTCGTGATGATACTGTAGACTGTGTGTCGATCCATCTGTGGCAGGGACTTGGGGGCGGGGTGAAAGCAGGTAAGTGAAGAGGGTGCTCCAAGAAAACCTCAGCTGACACTACTACTTTCTGCTTCACAACCTCTAAGTGGACAGTGCTCTTTACACCAGCATAAGGTCACCCTAGGAACTGCAGAGGAAGGTATGGCTACTGACCCAGCAGTACAGTAGTGGTGTCAACAATCCATACTGCCAGAGGCATGCCTTACTTTCTGAAGGTCTGAGAGGACACAGGTCAGAGACAATGGTGTGCACCCCTCTCTTTATCCAGTAGAAGGAACGCCACATAAACGTGGTCATAAGACCTGAAAGAGCCCAGAACTCAGGAGGCAGTATTCTCTGTCATCTGATTCCAGATATGTCAAGGGGCAGGAAGACAGAGGAGAACACCAACACGACCGCTCTGGCTCACCTGCACGTGTACCTCCTGGAAGATGGCTTTCAGCACCGAGACAGCCAGCCCCGGGGGCAGGGCCACACACAGGCTCTGGGGAGGAGAGACGGCAAGTGAGTGCAAGGGACTGCGCACACCCTCCAAGACAGGCCTCGTTAGCAACAGTTGGAACCACAATGCTCTGTTCAGGAAGACGAGCTCGTGGTGAGATGCCTTCTCAGGCTGAGTTCTCTGCTGCTCCTTCCGTTTGGCTCTGGCTTCCAGCCCCCCGAAGGATGCTGCTGCTCTCTAGTGTAAAGGCAGAAGTGGAGCTGGCTGACACTAACTTAGCCCCACATTTGGGCACCTGCTTCGTGCACTTGAAGCCTCACCCCCAGAGGGCAAGGACAGAACCGACAGGGGCGCCTGTGAACACAACTATGCAATGAAATGGGGGGGAACTCACAAGTGCCTTCAAGCCCTGTAGGACTGCTGGGATCACAAGGTGATGGTCCTTCAGCCGGTTCTCGTAGAACAGGATCAGCTGCACCACTGTACAAACCAGACGCAGCCGTTAGGGTACACAGTGTGAGCAGGGTCGCCAGCTTTGATCCTTCCCTGGGTCTGTAAGGGTGGTTCCTGTTTGTTTGGGCATCATTACAGATTTTCTCCTTCACCAAGACATAAGCCCCATGCCCTCCCATTCAGAGGTGCATGGACGTGATCAGTCAGGAAACTAGGAAGCATGGCTTACTATCCATTCTCACGTAGGTCCATTCTTAGCCCAGAACTGCCTTTCTTGAAAACTGGGGTCTGCAAACTTTTCTGAAAGGGACAGATAGTGGTCAGGCGTGGTGGCTCACGCCTATAATCCTAGAACTTTGGGCGGCCTAGGTGAGAGGACTGCCTGAGCCCACGGATGAGAGACCAGCCCGGGCAAGTTGGAGAAACTTCATGTCTACAATAAATCAAAAAATTAGGTGGGCATGGTGGCGCATGCCTGTAGTTCCAGCTACCTGGAAGGCTGAGGCCGAAGGATCACCTGAGCCCAGCAGGTAGAGGCTGTGGTGGCCGCGTGCGTGCCACTGCACTCCAGCCTGGCTGACAGAGTGAGAGGACACAGGTCAGAGATAATGGTTCCCTCCCACTGTGGGAGTTTTTCTGTCCTCTCAATAAATCCTGCTTTCTCAAAAAAAAAAAAAAAAAAAGGGCCAGATAACAAATATCATATGATAACAGGACATGGTCTCTAGCTCAACTATTCAACTCTATACAGTAACATAAAAATAGTACAGACAATAGGTAAATAAATTTATAAAAAATAAGACTGTATGATGTGTATGAATTCTTATAAATTGTTATTTTTTTCTGTATATATATTTTTACATTCATGAAATGATACTATACTAAAAACAAAAAATAGGCTATTATGCCTGTAGTCCCAGCTTCTAAGGAGGCTGAGGTAGGAGGACTGCTTGATTTCAGTAGTTTGAGGATAGCCCGGACAACACTGTGAGACGTTATCTCTAAAACAAAACAAAATAAAACACAACACAACAACAAAACCAGGGCTCTTGTTTGCCTACTTCTGTTGGCTTTTTCTCCTCAGGACTTCAAAGCACTTTGATCTTCCTTCCTTTCTTTTTTTTTTTGTTTGAGTTGGAGTCTCACTCTGTCACTCAGACGGGAGTGCAGTGGCCGCTCCCGGCCACT